AATTATTAAATTATAAGAATTTATTATTATTAAGTGATAATATTAATCAAAATATAGAATTATTAATAAAAATTAAATATCTAATGTTAATACAAAAAAGTCTGTTTTATTGTTTATCACATTTTGAAACATTTTTTCATCATTTTGATTAGAGAAGTATTTTAATACACTGCTGCTCATCAATAGGGTAGAAGACCCGCGCATGCATATCGAATATAATCTCAAATAAGTGCTTAAATAAAATGAAACAAGATTTTGTATAGTTCCCATTTAATCACCTTTAAACGACGATTTAGAAATATTTGAAAAATTAAATGTATTTAATGAATTAAAAAATAATGTTACGTAACAAATGTACAAATAACTACTGAACCTTTGTGACATTTTGTGAAAACTACAATGTCCATTATACATACGTGATTGCAGTGTTATCATTACGTTGCGCATGTCCGTCTAAGCCTGAAATTTCATTCGTCATACGGCAAGATTCTCAGACGTTCTGATTGGCTATTGAATAAGGAATTTTTTAAAGTTTTGAAAATTCTCAATTTAATAGCCAATCAGCACGCCCGAAAACCTTGTACACCAAATGGAATAGCAGGCTAACCACATTGAGGTTAGCTTCGTTCCCTTCCTTCGTTGCTTTGCTGAGATGGTGAGTGCATTTGTGCCGTCGTACTTTCAGATTAATCCAATGATATCAGAAACATCGCCGCTTCATTCATCGTTTATTTGAAATAGACATACAGTTTGAATTATCGCGAAAACTTATTTGCAATTATTACACAAAAAAATGTCACAAGATTTCTTTGATATATCGAACGACATTGAGTTAACCAATATGTTTTTACTTCAAACTTTCGTTTTATTTTTATTGCTTACATTTGTAATGATTTGTAGTTCTTGTATAAATATTTAATTGATCTTACAGTCAACACATAAGAAAAAGACCAGGAAGCTGCGTGGACACGTGAGCCATGGCCACGGTCGCGTTGGTAAGTTCTCTTTCAGTATAATTTGTGGCTATAACCTACCACGTGTGTAAAGTAAATAAAAATGTATGACAAACATCGTTATGCTTATGAATTTTTGATAGTAAGATATATTCGTGTTTTCGAAGAAATATCAACTATTCATTATCTTATAGATGTATATAATTCTAGTTGAAGTTCTTAAACTGAATCAAAGATGTTTGGTCTTGTGTGTCTATTCATATTTCTATTATATCATTACTCTTATACTTGGATTTAATTTTTTTATATAAATATTGCTGAGTTTTTACTATATAATTTAAAAACATGCTGTTTGTGTCTTTCAGGCAAGCACAGAAAGCATCCAGGTGGTCGTGGTAACGCTGGTGGTATGCACCATCACCGAATCAACTTCGACAAATACCATCCTGGTTACTTCGGAAAGGTAAAAATATATTTGAGCCAAATTATGCATATAATAAAAAATAATACATATCACATGATGAGACTAATTTTCACCGGCGAGCTGAATTATATTGATTGCATTTGTTATAATCTGAATAATTTCTAACATGTAAAATAAATATTAAAGGGATTTATATCTCTTAGCTAACATTTTTTTTTCCATTTTTTAGCTTGGCATGAGGAATTATCACCAACGTCGTAACAAGAAATGGTGCCCAACTATAAATTTAGATAAATTATGGACGCTAGTTTCCGAACAGACAAGGCTAAAATACAAAGATGTTGAAGGCAAAGCACCCGTAATTGATCTCGTAAAAGCGGTAAGTTCATAGATTTTTATATATATATATATATATTATTTTTTTTTTCCAATTTATATATTTTTTATATGATGATTTGCAACGGGCGGACTGAAAAGTGCTGTACAACACTTAAATCTGTGTAGAGTGTTGCATCTGATTGTTATAAAATATTTATAAAAAACTATAATTAAAATTTAAATGTAACAATTTAATTGTATTAAAAATTTACATTTTGATATACAGACCACATATTGATATAATTTTATTTTAAGGGATATTTCAAACTCCTGGGGAAAGGACGCCTTCCGAAGCAGCCTGTTATTGTTAAGGCTAAATTCTTCAGTAAACTGGCAGAAGATAAAATCAAGGCAGTTGGCGGCGCGTGTGTTTTGTGCGCGTAATCATTGAGTATGTTATTTTTTTCTCTGAATATTCAATTCAACCTTTTTTTTGTCATTCCCATGATGATTTAGTCAACGGGCGGTCTGAAGTTGTAATAAGAGATCTTTGTTCGGCTGTAATGTAGATTGTTGTGTTCTGATAAATTCTTTGTGAAATGTCTTGAAAAGAATCTATGCTTCGAAATACTAATCCGCATCTTTTATTTTCAGAATATCAATCTCCGTAAAATATTTTGTATTCGAACATCGTGAAATAAAAGAAATAATTTATGGAGGATGTATTTTGATGAGACGATAAACATTTTTTTTTTTTTAATATTTTTCTGTGGTTCATATTTCATGTCATAAATCATCCTATCCTTATAACCTAAGTCCATCTTATTGTACAGTCTAAATGTATTACATTTTTGAATTTCATAATTTAGAATGGAGTTAATTTTAAGAATAGATAGTAAAGGTATATAAACAAGTATAACAAATATGAAAAAAGGTTTGATAAATTGTGTTCTTATATTCTGTCAACTTCTTTATGCTATGTGGGGTGGTGGAGGAGGTATTTGCATTCCAGTTGCCAAGAGAGCTGGTGGTGGTGGTACCGGATTAAACATCGGCGGCCTAGGTGGAGGTGGTGGAACTGGCACCATTGGACCCAGGCCTGGCCTTATTAGGGGAACTGGTGGTGGTGGTACTTTGCCCACAGATGGTTTTTCGTTCTTAAATGCAAATTGCAAGAAAAACTGCTTTGTATCTTTGTTCCAATGAGTCCAGAACTTTCCCTCTGCCTTTTCTACTTCCCTGCTGGGCACCTGTACAAAATTATAATTTTATGAAAGACTTTCATAAAATAGATAAGAGACATTTGACAAGTGAATGTTGAAATAAATAAAATATCTTACTTTAAAAGCGATGGTTTCATATGGTTCAGCTGCAAATAGCAAATACTGCCATTTGCGATCTGGTGGCTCGACCCTTTGCTCATATGCAGACATAAATCTGTGTCGCGGTATCACATTGTCTGCAACCTCAGGATAATCCACTTGAAACAGCAAACTTTGCTGGCCAGACTCAGGATCACGCTGTTTAGTTACTCGATAACCGGGTCGACCGATTTTCACAAATTTCTTGGGCTCAACTCGAGGCTTTTCTGGTGCGAGGGTCTGTGGTGCTTCTTTGGCTTCCTTCGCCGCTCTTCTGGCCAGATTAGCTTGGTGCTTCTTACCTTGCGTGTGCGCTAGGTAACTGCCCTCGTTATTATGTAAGGTAAGGCAAAGTTTACATTCGTACGAGCCTAAGTGGTTTTTCATAAAATACGGATCTTTGTTGAGATCAATGGTTTCCAGGGCGAGCTGACGAAGCCGCTCCCGTCGGTCGCGATTGCTCTCCGACCAAGAGGCGACACCGCCGCCGCCGGTTTTACCGCCTGGACGATTCTGGAAATCCATTGTTGCTCACGATAGCGTGCTGGCGTTGGAGAGAATATAAAAATCGCTTTTTGCAAATGCAAGCGTTTGTATGTACACGATACTGTAAATACAAATAACCTCACTCGATTACGTTACTCTTGTCACATACAAATAGAAATATCCTATTTATGTATATCTCGATTGTACATCTATCATTGGCCAATGTTTAGGAATTTTCCAATGGACCAATCAGAAAATGTAATACTTAATTGGCAATGCGTGTTATCGGATCTCTCTATAAGTGTCGGTCCACAATAGATGATTTAAGCTTCAAGAAGTAAGAAATTGACCAATTATAATCGAATATGAAAAGAATAATCGATTATGATTGGTCAATTTTTTACGATTTAAAGATTAAATACTTATTGTGGATCGAGACTAATATTTGACTAGAGAGAAACTTTTCTTTTAGGATGCGTTCAGAAATAATACTTGAGTGTACAGGGGATCAATCATGTAACTTTTCCCCTAAGGCGGAAACGTGAAAAGTGAAAAGTTTCACGTGAACGATCATACAATTTTGCGGGATCATGTAACTCTCTCAAATGTGAAAATGTGAAGTTTTTCACGTGAACTTTTTCGCCATATACCTTAGTGGCGGAAAGGCGGAAATCTAGGGAATTAATAAATATGCTTCGGAATTAGAAAAGATTAGGGCTGCGTTAGGATTAAGTGTATGTAGTACATATACAATTGGTTATTAAAAGATGTATATAATACTGTACCAATAAAATAATTTTCATTAGCTATAAAATCTATAAAATTATGTTTCATGATTTCACTTTCCATGCATCCAAGCTACATATATAATCGCTGTACATGAAAAATTTCAAAAATTTCGTGAAATGTCAAGGTGTGAAAAATGAAAAGTAAAAAGTAAAAAATGAAAAGTGAAAAATTTCACGTAAAGTTACATGATTGACTCCCACTTGCGTTCGGAAATACAATGGTTGTCCAACGGTTGAGTAATTCGTCAATGTAATTGGTCTAAATTTAGGGATTTAATAGTAAAGATAAGACCAATAATCACTGATCACTCACTGCTCACTTTGTTCCACTGAATACAATGATTTTTGGAACGCGAGGAATATTCGATATTCCTGGCTTGTTTTCTTTCTCTCTCTCTCTTTCTCTCTGTATCATGCTTTCGGTGTGAAAAAGCACTTGTTGACTGTAAATAAAATAGAAGTGTTGAAATTTGAATAGATTTATATTTACGACATACTTTTTGATTGTGTACCATGAATTTAAAACTGCTACTAAAGATCAATTTTTCCTGAAGAAAGAAGAGAATTCTAAATTTTATTAATAGAATTGCTTCTATTAGCACCGTCGACGCTTTGTTAACTATTTACAATAGTCACGATGGCTGCGAGAGGCATTCATAGCCTGAGATTCAATCAGGATCAAGGTAAATGTCAATTTACAAGCAAAAATTTAAATCACAAGATACAGTCTTTTTTCATTAGCATTCTCTCCCTTTTACAGGTTGTTTTACATGCTGCATGGAGTCTGGATTAAGAATCTATAATGTTGATCCGTTGGTTGAGAAAGCACATTTCGATAATGATTTAATGGGAAGCATCTCCATGGCCGAGATGCTCTGGAGAACAAATGTGATTGCCGTGGTAGGTGGTGGAAATCGTGCTAAGTTTGCTGACAACACTGTCCTGATCTATGACGATCTGTCAAAAAAGTTTGTCATGGAGGTCACTTTCACCAGTCTCATTAAAGCGGTTAGACTGCGAAGAGATAAGTATGATATTTTATGTTCTTTTCTTTCCCTTGTGTATTTTCTATAGGATGTTTATAAAAGAATATTTCTATGTTGTAGAATGATTGTGGCGCTGCAGCGAGAAATTCATGTCTTTTCATTTCCTACACCTGTACGAAGGTTGTTGACACTCGAAACAAGAGATAATCCAACAGGCTTGGTAGAAATAGCGACATTTGTGACAGCACAGAGACAATTATTGGCCTTTCCTGGTCATAAACTTGGTAGTGTACAGTTGGTGGATCTTAGTGCTACTGAGGCTGGTAGCTCCAGTGCTCCTATTACTCTTTCAGCACATCAGGTATTTTAATTTATTATTTCTTAGATTTTTTTTCCAAAAAAATTTTTCACATATTGTAATAAAAATTTAAAATTTGTTTTTTTAATTTGAAATTTGATTTTGATTTTTGTTTCTATTATAATATTTAATATTTTTTTATTTAAAGTTCTTTATGTGTAAAATAATCAAGTGCCAAATCTTAGTTTTTGCCTGATAAACTTCAATTATTTTAATATTAATATTTCAATTATTTTAATGTAATATTTGCTTCAACAATTAATGACAATGTTTTATATTACAAAAACAACAGGGTGCATTGGCATGTCTAGCAGTTAATGGAAATGGTACTATGATCGCGACTGCATCTGTTCAGGGGACCTTAATCAGAGTATGGGATTCTGTGCGCAGAAATTTATTAGTTGAATTGAGGCGCGGTGCTGATCCTGCTACACTTTACTGGTCAGAATACAGGATTAAATTTAATTATTATTTTTCAATTTCCTAATGTTTCTTGATATTCTTTTTAGCATAACATTCAGCAGAGATTCGGAATTCTTGTGTGTATCAAGTGATAAAGGAACAGTACATATATTTGCCTTGAAAAATACTAGCTTGAATCGGCGATCTACGTATGTGATTAATTTTTGACTGAATAGTTCCTTCTACTATGTGCGATATGTGCATAATTTTTTTATATATTATATTATTTTTTAGCTTTTCAAACATGGGTTTTCTGGGTAATTATGTCGAGAGCCAGTGGGCATTGGCTACCTTCACAGTACCTCCAGAATGCGCGTGCGTTTGCGCGTTTGGCACGCATAATTCTGTAATAGGTAGCGTATTTTTTTTTTGTGAGAAAAATAAATTTTCTTGATATTTTTAGTTTTTCTTTGTTTTTTTTCATTGTATTTCAGCTGTATGTATGGACGGAACATTTCACAAATATGTATTCACCGCGGAAGGAAATTGCAATCGACAAGCATTTGATGTCTTCCTTGATGTGTGTGATGACGATGATTTTTAACACACGGCCTGTTACTTGCGCATATGTGTATAGTCGTAAGACTATGTGCTTGCAACGAAATTTCTAGTCGTTTTACGAGCGGAATTTCTTATATGTGATAATTGTACAGGTAATCGAATCGTCGATTACGTGGAAAGTGCACAAGCCATGTGCCATAGAAAGTTAATATCCCATGGAGTCCCATCTTTGCAAATTCTTGAATGCAAGTTTTTTTTATGACTTATGTACTTTCCATAATTATACAAATTTAATAAATAGTAACATTTATTTTGTACAGTAAACAATCCATTAAATTTTATATTGATCACCTATCTCACAGAATTTTATGTAACATCATAAATTAAATTAACAAATTCCAGGTCTGCAGATAATCACAAAACCAAATCTCAGGTTTGTTATTTAGGCTTGTCCCAGGAGATTTGTTCTCTAAATCTTTCTTTAGAGAGAAAAAAAAAAGATTATTATCAATGCAGATGATAATTGATATAGATAATTCTACGAAAGTCTATCCCTTAAAAATATTCCAAAGGAAGATATTTACTGTATGGTTCAGGATTCAACATAGGTTGTATCATGGTAGCATAACAGCAAGTACCTATAAGTCCAAAAAAACTTCCAACAAACACACCATATCTCCATCCTTTTAATCGCATAATTCTCAATGAATCTGTGTGCAAAGAAACAAATATTGCATTTGAATGTCACATAATATAAGATGAATAGAAATTCTTATTTTAATCAATCACATTTAATTTCAACGTTTTTAATATTACATTCTTAAATTAAGAAACACATCATTTAAAAACACACAGGATTTAAAAAAAATAATATCAACAAAACACTAGCGTCAACTCTTACCACAAAAATTTCACGTCTTGATTGATTATTAAATCTCACTTGTTTGCAAAACGATTCTATTCCATATTTGTTTTTAAGGTTATGTTTCCGAAGGTTGGGTCTAACCTTATCTGTTCCATGAGCATTCTAACCTAATCCAAAAGATTTTTATGTTGAATTTCTCGATATTCTATCTTCGAACTACTTATATTTTTGTCACTGTTGAATATTTACAAATGAAATTTACAGATTACGGTATTTTCAGAAAAAAGTTTAAAAAATATAGTACAAACAACTTGTGTGTGATATTTTATGTAAAATCAATACAAAATTATATGTATTTTTTAGATTAACTTAATAGTTTCTAAATCAAACAAAAAAGAAAAAATTATGAGATTAATGTAAATAAGAAAATAACAAAATACACTTTTATTTTAGGAAATGATATTAAAAACATATTAATATTTAATTGCAGAAAGTGATTGGAATTGCCTTTTGTAATAACATAAGAATCATTACAATACAAAAGCCATTTTAAAATGTTGGGTATAATTTTGAAACATTCTATTACTATCAAAACTTCATTGGCTGAAGTACGATCTATCTATAGGATAACGCAAAAATATTTTATATGCGATAAGGATTTATTTTCAGCAGCAACAATTATTAGAACATTTCTAACAAGATGCTCAAGGTAAATTTATGATAAAACTTTAATATATTTTAGAAACATAATGTATCTGGAAATACATTTCAGTCATTGATTATTGAAATAATTAATATTTAAATAAATATATTATACAGGATATTCCTAGAGTTTTATTGTTATTTTTAGTTTCAGGTAAAAGTGGTCAAACTATAAGCAAAATATTATTATCAAAATGTTTACATTGCTTTGATCTATAATCATTTCAAAATTAATATTTAATTATTTTGTTATTAATCTGATTAACTTAAAAATTATTAATTTCAAATTAAATTCATGGGTACTAGAAATAACAATAATTTTAGTATATCCTGTACAAATATACAATTGTAAATTGATAATATTAATATTACAAAATGATATAAATAAAAATATAAATACAGATTTCCTCATGGAACAACACAACAAATTAAATCTAACAAATTACTACAAAATTTATTAGTACAACGTCGGCAAATGTCACAATTTGATGTAAATATGAATGTAAAGAATAACGTAATTTTATATAAATTTGAAAGAAATACATATTTCCGGAATCTGAAAATTTTTGCAATTGGACAGTTACTTGGATGGTCAGTAGTGGCTTTTTATACTTATAGACCATCATTCTGGGATATATTCAATACTGATATAAAGTTTAAAGAATTTCTCAAAAACAATATGATTTGTCTTACCATGTTTATCTTCTCAAGTTTTGCAGGTAAGAGCTGCTTCTTTTATATTTATATTTAATAAAAATCAATATTTTATATCCATGTATAATAGAAAGATGTATTTATTTCATTTTCTAAGTAATTTTTGTATATACATTTATAAAAAAAAAAAATTAACAGATAAGTTTTATCTTTTGTCAAAGACTAATATAATATTGTATTGTAGGTCCGTTCATGTCACTTTTTCTTTATGCTACGTGTGCTCGTAGTATCAAATACATTATTTTAAACAAAGGCGGTAAAACAATTTCAATTGTAACTTATCATCTGCTAAAGAAAAAATCTAGTATGAGTTTACCAGTAGAAATGGTAAGAACAATTTGTACAAATTTATAAACATGAAAATAATTAATATATAATTTTGAAAATAATAATTAATATATAATTCTCTTAAAGTATTGATACAAAGATAGAAATTAATATTTTTTTAAATAGAAATATTTTTCAATTAACATATTTTTTTTTAAGGTAAAGTTGTTCTCACACAGGACATCATCAGGATCATGCATACCACTTAAAATAAAAAATAAGCGTTTTTACTATTTGATTGATAAAAGCGGCACATTTGTAAATCCTAAACTCTTTGATTACACGTTAGGATAATTCCATACTTTTATAAATAAGTAGTATTTTTACGAATACATTTTTTTGTTATAATGTATATGTATATGAAAAAATTGTAATTATCATCATTTATAATTTATATATAAAATATAAATACAAGCTTAGAATTATTTATTTTAGAGAATTTATTGTTACACGAATATTATTAATATTCCGATATGCTAAATTGTGAATTATCAAGTTAATATTGAAAATTTTATATGTTATATTCTTGGAGAAAGACGATTGCTCTTTTTACAGATTATGTTGATACATTTACAATTTATATTTTCTTAAGCACATTTATAATTTATACTATCTGGAAAAGGAAAAAGAGAATGTTAGTAATAAGATTTATGAACAAGTATAAGTATTATATTTTATTGCACTGATATTGATTAGTTTTACTTGTCATTGGTTTTCAAGTCCTTTATGTAAGAGTCAGTAAAATGACTGGTTTTTTTAATTAATTCTTTATATCATTTTTTGTTTTTTAGTCAATATCTCTGATTTTGTCTGTCATAATATTTTCCTGAGTATTTGCTATATCGGTCGCTATAGCCATCATCCTGATATTTATCTTCAGCTTTATAATAAACTTCAGGTGCTGTAGATCCAACACGACCTTGCCAGTAATGAGTCCAGTATAAGTCTTCTGGATTGATATCGTGTGGATGTTTGGCATTTTTGAACACATGTACGCAATATATGAGACTACCGATCAGTGTCAAAAATCCAAATACAAGAAATACTATCCCCAAAATCCTAGAAAAAAATATTCAGATTATACATAAAAGTCTAGGATAAAATCTATGTAATATATTTCACATTTCTTTACTAATAATTATTAGAAATATGAATAGTTTTGGAAATAAAAACTTATTATTAGATAGTAGTAGTCTTACCAAACAACTAATGGCTGGAAGAATTGTATAACGATAACAAAGCCTAGAGTAACTAAAATCAAGCCAAGATTGAGAAGTAACATGAGACAACAGACGCCCTTAGTGTTTGGACAGAACGGATTAGGTGTTGACATAGTTTCCACGATTATACCGCCTTTTCGTGATGTGCGAGTCTTCACCGTCGAAGTGCCCGACCTACCGGAACCGTAGCTATAATGACTAGGCGTTCTGTGATCCAGTCTGGAGCTTGGTGCGAGACTATGGCGCGATACCCGACTGTTCGCAACACAAAACGCACATTTTATATTGCCAATGTATTTATAGAATATTGAATGTTATGTTTCTGTTAACGAATTGAACGACCTTATGTCGGATGTAGCCCTATATGCAGCACTAGTGACGTATATATCTGAACCGTTGTCACAAATGCTGCCATGTGAAGCACTTTTGCGAAGCGGATGTAAGCTATGTTTCGAAGATCCGGATAATACCGAGTCACGAGTATTATGTGCGCTTCTGGATCTTCTGTCTTCATCTCTGTCATACTTATCCGCATGGTTCTTTCTCGTGGGTTTCACCTGAAAGACATTTCATGAAGAATAAAAATAATTATAAAAATAAAGATTGAAATAATTAAAAAGATATTTCAATAACATTTCAAAAACGATTAAAGATGTGATTGAAAAAAAAATAAGTGTTATAACAGAATAAAAATAATTATAAAAATAAAAATTGAGATAAAAATATTTCAATGATATTTCAGTTAAAAGATTTAAAAATGTGATTGAAAAGATAGATGTTACAGAGACATGTTAGAATACATTTTTAAATGAAAAGGAATGTTTTTGCCATCGATACGAAATATATATTACCATAGTGGTATGCTCGTTAGCAACGATATACTCGGACACGGTGCGATCCGAAGGAGCTCTGTGGCTTTCCTCACCATCCGTAACATAATCACGATTAATGTGATATCCAGCGTATCTCGACGTATGCATTTTGGAGTATCGGATAACTCGCAAAAATAATGTTGAACACAAATACGTAAAAAATAGTGATCAGAACACATTTAGCTCATCTAAAACAGAAATAAATATTAATTTGTCGACAGATTTTCAAAAAGTTATGATCGTCAGAAAAAGAAAGGCGGAAGAGGACGTAATGTGCTTACCGCGAGCATGCAACGTGACGGAAGAGCGTATCTTTTTTCATTTTCATTAAAAATATATTGCATATTTTGAAAGAGAATTCATGCATCGTATACATCATATTTATTCCGTCACCTACAACAAAGACACTTTACAAAGTCACCGAAAAGACTAGACATTCGAGTTCTTAAATCTTTTTTCTTTCATATATTTTCGTCTTTTTTTATGTATATTTTGTTTAGCAACATCCGCATTAAAGCACGATCTATCAAGCAATCGCGCAGTTCTCCTCGATTGAGTATAGATTATAGGTGTGGCATTCCTTTAAGTCGTGCCTTCGCGTAATGATTGCAAAACGATGCATTATCATTATGGGATCGTAGGTAGTGCCTGCGGTGCGTTCATCGCACATCCTTATTTAGTACGATGATGTCATTTGGCAAGGACATGTGCAACATCTTCGATCGGCAATGCGCGCGTATTCTTCGCCTTCTCCCGCGACTCTCCCAAGGCGGCATCTCATCGATCGTTTCACAATCAATTGTCACGTGTGCTTTGTCAAACATCTGTATATAATGGATCAAAGGCAATCCTGCAATTGCATCTTTGAAAGTAAAAAATTTCGTAAGATAATAAAACGATACAGCGGAAGTCAACGTTTCGAAATGATTTTAGCCTCGTAAAAAATAAAATTCCTTAAAAGGAATCACGAGAATTATTACTTCTCTGAAATTAGACATCCGAAATCAATCCAAAACCGTTCGATTGCAACTTCTCCACGGGAATTTGACCAAGTTTATCTCCGTTAAGAGTTTAAAAGATTTTGAAATCGAATTTATCCACTTTCGATATAAGACAAACGCAACAGACGAAATCGATGATTAATGCCATCCGTCGTCTGAAATACGTTCCCTCTCGTCCGGCAACCGGTTATTAAACTTCTGCTTTACATCTTTTTTTTTTCCGCATAAGTCGCGATTTTTAAACGGACCCATGTGCACGCAGGAGGCGAAGCGGCACGGCGACGCGCGCAAGCGCCGTAGATCCGATGCGACATGCGCGCGCACACACACACACGCACACACACTACACACACACGC